ATCGATGTCATTTGATAGTCTAATCTCCCCTACTGTTAAATTTAAGATTGTTCGAGAATTAGCTGACAAAGTATAAATGAAATTTGTAGATATTGTTTTTGGCTACGCGTGGATATAAAGAACGTCGAAAACGGAGTTCGTATGCGAAAATTATGAATTTTTGAAAATCGGCTGATTTCCACCCTGTGTGCGATGCCTCGTGTCAGCACCTGGCTCGTACTTGGAGCCCAAGCTTACTCACGATGTGAACATCAATAAAATCACTACATGAACCTTCCTCCATCCCCCTATAAATAAGAGGTGAAACCCTCTTCATTCCTTACACCTCCCATCACTTCCCTCTCTCTTTAGAACTTCGCTCTAGCCCTGAAACCCCTCGTAAAGCCTAGGGAAACCTCCCTAGCACGAGGGGGAAAGCCTTGGAGTGCCTGGAGACTTCGAGAAAAAGAGTCTTTCGGCTCGGGAATGCTGCTCTAGCGGCGCCCGGTTTTGAGAAAAACCCGCTGTAAGTAAGCTGCGCCTAACCTATCTTTAGTATAACTTATGATTCGATATAGTAAGGTTATTATGACCTTATAATAGATACTTGGGCTATTATGAGTTATATAAGTATTGTTTAACGCATATTTAATAGTAATAATTGCTAGACTATTAATTAGTAATGGTGAATAATAGACTAAACTCTAGTGGTAATGATACTAGGTTTTGTCAAAGGAAAATTGTGTTAAGAGTAACGAAGTGCTGTCCGAGTGCCGAGTCACTACATTTTCAAGTGAGTGCATGGTCCCTTTCATCTTACACAAAGATATGAAGTATTTTATATAAGTTACGTGTTATGTGTGGATATTATATGAATACTTGTTGTCTATGTTGGATAGATGATTTTATACAAGTTTTATATGATTTAAACTGTATATGTATTTATATCTATGTAATATGTTGGGTAAAACATGGGTAGATGAAATATGAGTTGGATGATGAGTTGAGAGGTGATATAGACCATGGGGTAAGGGTGAGAGGTGGACGATGTGAGAAGCCTTGTTCCCAAATGTTGGTCCCATCATCTAGCAGAGTATGGATGACAACCATAGACTATTCTAGACAATCCAGTGGAACACTAGCAGGCTCGCAACGTGTAGGTGTTGTGAACGACATCTTCACCGGTGTACTCTAAAAACCTATTGATATGTATTGCGAGTGGAATCTCGTAAACGATACTGTGAATAAATGAGATAACCCTAGCAGTTGTGCTCGAAGGACAATACTGGCAGTTGTGCCTCATAGAGAATGTCAAAATTCTGGTAGTTGCGCCTAAAGTGATAAGAAGTAGCAGTTGGGCTTGACAGTTGTGTCATTGACAACAATGTACTTCGTACCTATTCCTTAGGATAATCCTTAGGAATGAATGAATGTGAAATAGCTGATTCTTATGGTAGATCCTTAAGAGTAAAGAAGATAATGAGGATGGGTAATTGGGTTAACTATTCGAAGATTAAACATAATAATTATATTATTATGTGTTGAAAACCCTATGTGCTCACTAGGTTTCCCAACCTGACCCACTCAGTTTATTTATATCACAGGTGTTGACATGAAGTCACATTACACTGAAAGATTAATGATATATAAATCACTAAGGATAATGAATGTAAGTTCTGTTTATGCTTATGTTTTTGTATTGACGATGACATCCCAATGTTTTTAAAATGAATAAAAATACATTTCTTCGGAAATGCTTTGATAACGTATTTATCATGTTTTACTGGGAATAAATTCCGCAACACTTTTATGAAAAATATTACTCTGATTTTTAAACAAGCATAAACAAAATCGGTCTTTTCTAGTCGTGAAAATAGGGACGTCACACTGATGACGTGTATTTTTCATTTTTTTTTGTGTGGTGCGACGTGTCGCATTCTGGGTGAAGTGACAGTGCGTGCGATGCACTCTGTCGCTGTGTGCGAGCGTACACAAAGAGTTTTCGATTCTAAGAAAATTCATATCTTCTTTATACGAGTTATGTTTTCGACGGGTTTTATATCCACGCGTAGCTATCGATGAGATCTACAAATTTCATTTAGACTTCGGATTAATTTTGACTTTATTTTTTAAGTTATATTTTTAATAGACTTAGACTGTTAAAGTATGTTAAAAATTCATAACTCTCTCGTCTGACGTATGTTCTCGACTGTCTTTATATTGTCGGGTTTCTATTAACGAGATCTTCGATTCTCGTTTAGGTTGTTTCGGTTAACTATCAACTAATCTAAAATTCAATATCAATGTTGCACACTTTTACACTGAAACTTTAGAAAAATCATAATTTCCTCTTACGAAGTTAGATTTAGACGTTCTCTATATGACGCTCTTGGTTTACCATTGCTATGACTTTCGTTTAAATTACCTAGGCTGATAAACAACCGATCTCCAATTTACTATTTACGATACACTGACTGATCGTGAAACTTCGGAAGTCCATGGCTTCTGTATACATAGTCAGATTTTAGTGTGTATTATTTGTACGGGATTCATAACGCAGTTCCTACATTTTCTATCAAGATTTTTTTGTCCTAAGTAATCTTCTATTGAGATTGTCATTTCATAGTTTATTGATAAATTATTAAAATGGTTTTATAATACGTAGTCTGCAACGCGCACGACTAATGAGATCCCGAATCAAGGATTTAAATTATGATTATTCTTTGTTTTGTTTAGCCCGAAGATGCGGGTGTTACAAATAAGCATCAAGAGATGACATGACTTTAAGAGTAAGGTTCATGAACTCGTGCTTTAAAGCAGTTGTATGAGAGCTTTTATTGTTCGCTCTTGATGCGAGCCATGCTTCAAAGGAGGTTGATTCAAAATCAAATACACATGCTAAAGGTTCATCTAAGAAGGTTTCGTAGATCCATTAAAGATGAACATCATAAGTCTTGAACAAGACTCGAGAAGACAAATCGATGGACTTATGTGGTTTGGTGTTGTTGATACGAGCAATAACTTTGTAACCCCACACATGGAGTTGAAAAACTTTAACAATAACTTTATAACCCCACACATGGAGTTGAAAAAATTTAACCCATGATGAATAATCACTCTTGTGTCGTTGATGATTCATACATTGTTCAAGATATTCGTTATACTGTTGACCAAATAAAGTGCGTTTTTATAGGAGTATAGTGGATATGGGAGGCGGCAGAGTTACGATTCGTGACGAAGTGGGTACATACAGCGGTGACTATGAGAGGTAGTAACTATTATACTATGTGAAATATTGAATATCGCAAAGATTTCATTAAACAATGAGCGATATAAAATAAGAAAAACCTTAGAAAAACTAACATATTTTCATCAATTATTATATATATATATATATATATATATATATATATATATATATATATATATATATATATATATATATATATATATATATATATATATATATGGTAAAATGAATATACCTAACAACCTTATATAAGCTTAGGTACCTAACGTCATCAAACTACGTTATTTTGCATTAAATTTTCATTGCAATCATCAAAAGTTCTTAAACTTCATACCTAAACTTGATTTACTTAAAAAAAATTTGGAAATTTATCATTATATTTCTCCTACATCCTTTCATTTGTAGCGGTAGGATATGAAGCCCATCAGGTGGTATTTGATAGAAAGACGTGATGTAAAAGAAAGATATTGGTGAAAGTCCAAAGATTTTGGAAGTAATCAAGTTATGGGGTTGAAGTTTAAGAACCTTAGGTAATTAGAATGTAAACATGATACAAACTGATGTAGTATTATGGAGTTAGGTACCTAAGCTTATATAACGTTGTTAGGTATATTCACTTTACCCATATATATATATATATATATATATATATATATATATATATATATATATATATATATATATATATATATATATATATATAATTTTGTAGTACATTAAAACCTTTATATTTTAAAGTATATTTTAAAAAATGTATAATCTAAAGCTTTGAGCTCGTAAAACCTTAGATCGCCACAAATGCTCATTCTCAAGGATTTGGTGTTAACATTCCATCACATTAAAAAATTTCCAAAATATAAATATTTTAACACACTAGAAATATATATACTATTTTTTTTTTTATATTTAGACGAAAATAGATTGAATAAACTTCCCATAGAAAATATAGGGATTTTATTATTATACTAAATAACAAATAATATAATAGTTTTTTCGAAAAAAAAAGAAAAAAATATGTTTGATTTTTTTTAAGTTTGCGGTTTGCTCTAGGCCGATCCTGCAGATGTAAATATCCTCAAATGCTTAAGACGAGTAAGAGAAAAAGGCCTTACTACTGTTATAAAGTAAGTTTTTTTTTTTTTTTTTTTTTTTTGTATTTTTTAATTTTTAAATAAATATATAATAAAAAAAATTGAGTCATATGAAGTTGTCCACTTTATCCTCCCTCAACCCGCCTATGGTTTGCTCTATAAAATACAAATACAAGATATTAAGCGAAATGAATTATATTTAGGGCGTGTTCGGCAAAACTAGTTAGTAACGGGTAACCGATAGCACTTTGTTAAACGTTACATGATTGAACTTTTAGATTTGAAACGTTCTGTTTAAACTAAAATCTAAAAACTTGTATTGTTAAACGATATCTTTTGTTTAAAACAGAACATTTTATCAAATATTAAAAGCTAAAAGATCTCAAACTTGTAAAAACTCTCAAATGCTCCAAACATTCCATTCTAAACATGTTCATAATCCAGATATCTACAGCTCTACAACTCGAACGATATTTAAGTTGCGAAGGATATACAAGTCACGCAAATAGTTATCAAGTTGCAACATGGTGATATGTATATATTTAATTTTAATTTCAAATATATAATTATTTTAGAGTATAATTCGAATGTATTACCGTACCAAATGATTAACTTGCTGACAATACTTGGATTAGGTTTTTGGACATCATCCCGGCTAAAACCTTAAGACTAACGAACCACTTCAAACTTCAAAGTCTTATTTATTATTATTATTATTATTTTTCTTTTTGAATTTAGATATTCCAACCCCACCCCCAACAATTGTCTTCGGCTATTGCTTCCTCAAAGACCCCCTTTCTGCCCCCTCCCTTTCTCTCTCTACATTTCCTTTTTGGGTTCTTGGGAGTTGGGACTGTAGAACCCTTCAATGGCGACTTGGAGATCAATGGCGCTCCTCTTCCTCTTCCTCCACCTTCTACCTTTAGCTGCCATGGCTGACAAAGGTCAACCCTTTCTCTCTTCATTCCTCTTCATATCTTTCATCTTTTTCTGCACATGTTATACTCTGTTTGCGTAGTTCACCAAATTTCACTATGGAAATCCTTTATTTTTGCATCTTTCAAGTAGTTTTATTCCTAAAAAAACATTTTTTCACCTGCGTTTTTGCATTTCGTACGGTTTTAATATGAAAGTTGGGTGTTATCGGAGATGATTTAGTTAGGGTTTATGGTGTAAATTGTGAAAGGTTCGACAAAAACATATAAACCCAGAAAGACATTGTGTTTTAGAAGCCATAAACCATCCTTGTTCATATTCTCATTCTTGTCATTGCAAATGAGTAAAGTTTCTGAATTTTTTTCCACTGTTCAAGAGATGAATTTTATACTTCATAAATATTTTTCTGTTGAAATTTTATACTTTGCAACACCATTCAACTACAATGTCGTTTGAGTAGTTTTATTCTCAAAGAACATTTTTTTCACATACCCTTTTGCATATTTGGTTTTGTTGTATGAGGTGTTTTAATTAGGGTTCATGAAGTCAAAAAATTGGGCAAAAACTCAAGTACTCAACCTAAAGAAGTTTTGGTCATTGCAAATGAGTAAAGTTTTAGTTTTTACTGTTCTAGAAAAAAAGAAACTTAAAGGGTTTATTTGAAATTTATATTATACCTTAACCTTCCCAGAATAGTACAACTCAAGTACAGCTTATTTTCTAAGAAATCAACAATTTACACTACAAAAACAATTTCTTTTTGAATCTTTCGAGTAGTTTTATACTAAAAAAACAATCTTTTCACATACCCTTTTATGTATTTTATAATCTTAGCCTAAAGGTTGTTTTTTATTATAGCTGTTTTAATTAGGGTTTATAAGCCATAAATCATGATTGTTCATATTTTTGCTTATTAAAAATGAGTAAATGCGTTGATTTTTCACTGTTCTAGAAACAAAAGTTCTGCTTTTCATATACTTTTTCTAACATTTACGTTAACCGACCTTCCTGGAATACCACCATTGAGATACAACTCAGAGCATGCTTTATTTATTTATTTATTTATTTATTTGTTTTTGCATAAATTATACCCTTTTGATTTTCCAAACATTAAAGTGGGAATAACAGGACTAACAAAGATTCCATTTTGGGTCCATCTAGATCAACTTTGAAGGGCAATATTGACATTTTGGCTATACAAACATCATATATATATAAGTTCAATGTTACGCATTTTTCATTTTTTCTTCTAAAAATTTGTAAATCCCATCATTGATAAGATTAATTGTCATATTTGTTCCACATCTTATAGAATGATTTCTCTCAATTTTTTACATTAAATTGAGACATTGAAGTCAATGGTTGACTTTTTATGAAAGGTCTAAAATACCCTTGGTGCCTTTTGTTCCAGATGCTTTTGTAGGTTTCAACATAGGGACCGCCCTCTCCGACATGCCCAGCCCAACTCAGGTGGTGGCCCTTCTCAAGGCCCAAAAAATCTTCCACGTCAGACTCTACGACGCCGACCAAGCCATGCTCCTCGCCCTTTCCGGCACCGGAATCCGCGTCACCGTTTCCGTTCCAAACCAACAGCTCCTCGCAATCGGCCAATCCAATTCCACCGCCGCCAATTGGGTGGCTCGTAACATCCTCACCCACGTCCCCGCCACCAATATCACCGCCATATCAGTCGGTTCCGAAGTCCTCACCGCCATCCCCAACGCCGCCCCAGTACTCGTCTCCGCCCTAAAATACATCCACGCCGCCCTCGTCGCCGCCAGACTCGATTCCCATATCAAAGTCTCCACCGCCCATTCCTCCTCCATCATCCTCGATTCCTTTCCACCATCTCAAGCCTTCTTTAACCGAACATGGGACCCAGTAATGATTCCATTACTTGAATTCCTTCAATCCACGAAATCTTACCTCATGCTTAACGTCTACCCGTATTACGATTACATCCAATCCCGCGATGCTATTCCGTTGGACTACGCCCTATTCCGCCCTCTCCCACCAAACAAAGAAGCAGTCGATTCCAACACCCTTTTACACTACACCAATGTATTCGATGCCATTGTCGACGCTGCTTATTTCTCAATGTCGTACTTAAACTTCACGAACATTCCGATCGTGGTGACGGAATCAGGATGGCCATCAAAAGGCGATTCCAACGAACCAGATGCCACTCTCGACAACGCCAACACATACAACAGTAATCTAATCAAACATGTTATAAACAACACCGGGACACCAAAACACCCAGGGGTAGCTGTCAGCACGTTCATCTACGAGCTTTATAATGAAGATGCAAGATCGGGGGTGGTTTCAGAGAAGAATTGGGGGGCTTTTTGATGGAAATGGGAGGCCGATTTATGTGTTGCATTTGACTGGTTCAGGGACCATGTTGGCTAATGACACCACGAACCAGACTTACTGTGTGGCTAGAGATGGTGTTGATCGGAAGATGTTGCAGGCTGCTTTGGATTGGGCTTGTGGACCGGGGGAAAGTTGACTGTTCGGCTATGGTTCAGGGTGCACCATGTTATGAACCGGATACTGTTGCAGCTCATGCCACTTATGCTTTTGATGCTTATTATCATCGAATGGCTATGGCTGAAGGGACTTGTGATTTCAATGGTGTGGCTACTGTTACTACCACTGACCCAAGTAAGTCAAAGGTTCAATGCTTTATATGTGTAAAGAGTTGTACTCCGTGCTTTAAATGTTATACTTATGTTATCGAATTGTTTCACTTGTAGGTCATGGAAGTTGTATATTTCCCGGAAGGTAAATAATTATTACAAAATGTCACACTTCATTGCAAAAAAAAAAAAAAAATTGTGAAATTAATGGTTTTTATATTATTGTTTGTGTAGTAATGGGAGTAATGGGACATTCATAAACGGGACTTCTTTGGCTCCGTCTTCAAATTCGACTTCGGGTAGCTTGTCAACATTCAACGAGAGCAATTCGGTTTCTTTTATGAGACTTTTTGTGGTGTTACTTTTGAGTGGGGTATTTTTGTAAATTTGTCGAAAATATTCTGTTCTTGATTACCTCCATTTTGTTCCTGCCCATGAAGCGGGAGGGTAAAAAGGTCACAAACAAAGTTTGTTTGAAGCTTGAAGGAATTGTTGGACTTAGGAGCGAGTTCGTTTGTTGATTGTAGAAACAAGCGAATCAAGATTTTTTTCTTCATGATCTATTCTTTGACCTGAAAGTTGCAATTTTTGTCTCATTCACATCAATCTTAGTGTAATGCACACAAAATGCAGTGTTTGTAGGTACAAGTACTTGAAATGATTACATTGATTTGTCATTCAAATTTCATCGATTTTCGAATAACAAGCCTCGCATACAAAACCCGAGGACTCGGGAAGAACACGTTGCTTGTATGCATGCTTGTTACAATAAGGCTTATTACAAAAACCACATTTTGGTTGTTTAATCCAACAAACTAGACACAAAGTATCTTCACAAGCGGCTTCACTATCATCTTCATCTACACATTTTCCACACTCTTCGCACCTTACAATGCAAAATTTACACCCTCGACATCCACCGATTGTCCTCTTCCTCTCGCATGTCTCCAAAGGGCAATCAAACACCATTCTCACTTCATCACATTTGGGACAAATTCCCACATCTATGGAATCTTGTCTTGAAGTGTCTGGATAGAATCGCTTGTGTTGCATTTCGTTTGATTTTATCAACATACAAAGTGTTTGAAAGTGGTCTTTCGTGATGTTATAGATACCGTTTATCTTTAGGCTCTTTAAGGTTGCAACGTGTTGGTTTAACGTTGTCACTGCTTGGATAACCCCTTCGGGGGTTAAATTTGTGCATTGAGGTACATGTAGCTAAAAAAGGAAATATTGTTGTTATAAACACATATCCAAACACCCTCTAATTCACATCAAATTTCAAGATCAAGAAAAATCGTACCTTTTCGATATTGGGATTCATGGCTACTACAGTTTGAACACCATCGTTTGTAATTCTGTCACAGTTATTAAGAACCAATGTTCTAAGCCTACCCATTGCTTTTGAAGCAATCTTGACTAGAATTTCATCGGAAATCCGTGATCTTTGAAGATTTTCATCCACTATGATGTTGAGCCATGGCAAAATATCATCTTTTAAAGCGTTGTTGAAGGATTTACATACTTGAGCCATGGCAAGAAGCTCAAAAAGTGGAAGATAAGGTAATACAAGGTATAAAGATTCATGGGGTTGTCCTGTGTTTGATGAATCTTGATTTGTTTGATGTTGTTTGTGGTTTGTTTCATGTGAAATCTCCATATCCATGGCTCAAAAATGGTTTTTTTTCTCTTAACAAACCGGAACGGTTGTTTTAAAGGTTTAAGGAGGAATTGTTTTCCAAGATAAGTAACATGTGGCCAAGATTTTGATAACAGTTCAAGAAATTGACTTGGTAGCCCTCCAAAATTTTAACAATGTTATATATAACCTTCAATTTACAAAAACTTATCAATCAGGTCCGATGTGTTTAGATTGTAATTTGACTTGGAATGCAAAACGTTGGTCAACCATCAAGCTTTATTTTAGTAGCCGTTGGGTTACATAATAAAGTAAGCACTTGATACAAAAGTTGAAGTTGTGTCGTAGTCGTACTTGAAGAATGACATGAATGGACAAAAAAAAAAAAAATAGGGTGATATATATAATAAAGGTACAACACATACACAATAATTAAGCTTAAAAAAGTTCACCAAAAGACAAGTTTCATTCCTTTTTCCTAAGTTTTATTTTAACCGAAAGGGCATTAATAGATACATTAATTATCTATATAAATGTCCTAAGAGAAATCAGAAAATAGTGATTAGCGATGATGATCCATGGGCATGGGGTCAACAGTGGTCTTGAAAAGAAGAACATAAACTTTGTTGATGGAAAAATACAAGAAACCTCCCAATGAATGCGTCACGTATGACCCAAAGCTGCTTCCCACAATGCAGTGCCATGCAGGCCCGTATGATGCGTCGAATTCCTATGATAACGACATATAACCATTTTTAACACAAAAAAAAAAATCTCTATTCATTATTATTATTATTTATTATTATAAAACAAAAAATTTAACCACGAACAAGAGCTATAACCATTGGTGGATGTTAAATAAAAATAATGAATAATTAATATAGTGAAAATGATAAGTAAGATTAGTATATTAGTTTAGATTACCCATTATAGCTAGATATGTTAACACCTTTTTAGGAAATATAATCAGGACAAGTTTTTAAAATAAATGAAATTTCAAAAAGATAAAAACAGGAAAGTATTATACTGTATTGCCCCTATAACTTGATGGGAACATGTCCATGGGAAGCTGCACACTGTCCAACATCGCTTTGTCCAATCCAACCAAATCAAGAAACAATCTTTACCCAAATTAATATCATAAACTTTTTATAACAACGACTAGAACTATTTAGAAGTTTTACGTGAAATATCACAATGGAAATCTTTAAACCTGAAAGTATCATAAAAGTTGTTAAAATTTCCTTTTATGGAAAATACTCAACTAGAAATTAATGACATCTACGATGGTATTAACTTTGAGTAAGCATTAAATATTCATTTTAATTTATGCATTTAGATAACATGTTTAATTTTAAGATATTAAAGAAGTAAAGTCAATCAACATTCTCGATTATCAATTCATGTAAAATGAGCAGCAAAAGGCTAAAAGAGTAGGGATACTCTGTGAGTAGAATCTCACAAGACTACAAATAGTAGACATGAACAAAATAATTCTGACACCATAAAAAAACAATTTTGACCACCTGCTTTGGAATTTTTCTGTTTGTCCCTTCTTTTTCATTAAAGATATTGGAGATCATTATCATACTTTAAAAAGGTCAAATATTTTTCAAATATGCAAAAATTTCAAATCTTAGTTTAAAAGTTTATAAGAAAAATCTAGATTTGTGACACTTGAGCATTCACAGAAGACAAGTGATTGAGAATTAAAGAATCCCACACAAGAAACCATAAGAAATGGGCAAAAAAAATATTGTTTCATATAATCAAGAACAATCAAACTACCAAAAGCATTTATAGACGAAATAAGTTTGAAAAAGGTTTCTTGTTTTTCTTTGCATTTTGCATATTCAATATTTATATAACTTGAAACATTTAAAATAAAGTTATGAACGTTTCTATTCTAATGTGAGGATACGTGGTTAACATTAAGAACTAGTTTGATTATTGCCACGGAGAAACATCCATAAACCTTCATGAAACAGATTTGAGAATCCTTTTAATCAATATACTTAGCTCTAATTAACCCAAAATCAAGAAAAAAGATAGACCCATGATTTATTGTTATGCATTCTTGAAAATAAAGCGAAAAAAGAAAAGATTTTAGGAAGAGAATGTTACCTTCTTGAGGGCAAGGGCAAGGCGTTTGCTGTCAATCTTGATTCCATTTCCAGGAGACATGGAATCAAGATGATCTTTTGCACACTTAAAAGCTTTGTTTTGCAAAACCGTTGACATATCAGAAGCTTTGACTCTGATATTGAGTTGTTGATGGAGGTTTTGTTGATCGGTAGCTTTCTTCTTCTGTATTAAATTGCTCAAGAACTTGCTCCTTCTTTCTAGCTCTTTCTCTGCTTCCTCCATAGCCTCATCACTCGATTCTTGATTTCAGACTTGTTGAATTTTGTGGGGTTTTGAGTTGAAGCAATGGGGTTTTGGGGTTTGATTTGTTTGTTTTTCTTGTAATGAGTGAAAAGTGAAAAGCAAGGTGAGTGATGAGGTACGGTGATGGAGTGGGGTCAATTTAATTGATCCTCGGATTTGGTAAATAAATACAAATTTTTCCCTCCTTTAAAAGTACTTTTAATTTAGGAAAACTTTCTAAAAAACTAAATACCAACAATAACAATAATAATAATAATAATAATAATAATAATAATAATAATAATAATAACAACAACGTTAAATTAAATTGTTTTCGACATTTTCTTATTATAAATATTTCTATCCATTAAAATTATGACATTTATCATTATTTTATCATCTTATTTATCCCTAAAATACATTTAACCAAGTAATTGAAAAAAAGAAAAAGAACGATCACGTAATCAACATCTTCATCCCCATTATGTATCCAAGCCTTTCTTCTCATATGGTATGTTGCCCATCGCTACTTCAATCAACATCCGTATTCTCATCTAGTATGTTGCCCACCGCCATCCCTACTTCAATCGACATGTTCAATCGCCACCGCTTGGTCTTCAATCGTAGCTTCCTAATCTTCAAATGACAACAAAGTATTTTGATGATAGGGAAGAGTGGCAAGAACCTGTGCAGTATGTGTATGAATTACATCAATAAGGGATCAACACCCATGAATTTCCATGGCAGTATTGTGGTCAAGAAGAATCAAGCATTTAATTCTTATGTCATTACTCCTGTTTCGAAGTAAGTCTCATTTCGTTGGTCTGAACTTTCCTTTCAATCGACTATTTCATTAAAAAGAAAGAGGAGCATTTTGATTGATCCAACAACTAATTTTTGTTTCAAATTGTTAGGAATTAGGAACCTTCTTCATAATTGCATTATTATTTCATGGAGAAAGCTTTAGTCTGCATGAGTAAAAACAATTCATGAGACCTGGAACTTAACAGTTGATACATACCTCATGTGTAACGTCTCAAAAATCATGATAAAATTTTTCATTTTTCAAAAACAATTTTATAATCTATAAGTCATACAAAAGATTATTTCTAAAACATAGTAAAAAAATTACAGTATCCAAAACATCTCACAAACATAAATCCAAAGATGATGTGTAGGATCACGCATTTGCCTTACTCCGATCATCTGATTTACATGTAAACATGAAACTAAACTGTAAGCCAAAGCTTAATGAGTTTCACAAAACATATACAAACATCCATGCTGGGTCCACATGTTGATATGACGAACTCCAGGCGCATGATGAACTCTCTTACTCCAGGGGGTTTTGTCCTATAGTCATCTGGGAATTCACTATGCGTAAGAATAATAAAAACTAGGTCAGACAGCCATACCGAGGGTGGGACCCCAATATAACTCTCCAATGCCTTAGTTAAATTGCAACACTTTGGTATTGTTTTTGTGTCAAGGAATATGTGTTCTCCTTACTTACATGGTTAGCATGTCTCCCGGTGATATTTATATATTGTTCGTGGTTAGTAAATCCCACTTCTTATTACCTGGTTTGCAAACGGTCGCACTTCCTGTCCTTTCCTTATTTATTTGATTTGCTTTGTACTATTTGGAACATTTTATGGGATACGATTCTGATGCTTGCGTATGGCATATTCAAATGCATATTTGTCCGGAACAAGTGGTAATGCTTTGTAAAGCCGACCTGGTAGGTACCGAGCCAATAGTGGGATACGATTCTGATTGTTTTCTATTTAAGTGCGAGCATGGGTGTTGTGTATATGGCTACCAATTCTTTTTTTTATTTTTATTTTGATGCATACCTAGCTTTTCATATTTTGGATTCAATTTTCATATTTTGGATTACACCTGCAACAACTGTTGGTTTGGTTCAGCTGTGAGCGGTGATTTTATGGAGAACCGAAAAGATAATAAAGTTATTAGGATAATTTACTTTATCCATATTATTTGTTTTCTTACCCATATTGTATGGATTTTCTTAGTAATAATATAAATAATTTTTTTGTATAGGTTTTCATGAATAAAGGATAACGACAATATAAAATTTTAACATAAGGCAACTCTTGTTGTCAACTGCAAAGATGTAATGAAATCGTTAAATCAAGGCAACTTTGTTGTTGTTCAATAACATTTTCATTATTATTGTCCAATCATCATACTTTTTAACAAATGATTTTATAGAGATTGAAAAGGGAAAAATGGAGAAAGTTGGGTATTCATCTTTACAATCAGTGGGTTTAATTGTTTCAATGGGTTCAATCATAATTTTGCCAAAAGGGCGTCATTATTAGAGAACATATATGCATTTAGGTAAGACACATTATATAGTTTACCGTTATTGTATTATTAGTTTCCTTATGTATTGTTTTTTTTATAGTTTGGTATCCAAATTTCCATAGGATCACCGTCTTTGTTTTGACTTTAATTGAGAATCCATTATTGTTGCTACTTTATTTTGATTTTAGATTGATCCTGTTTTTGGTATATGCAGATCAATATGCAATGTAGCCTTAGTGAAGAATTTTTGCTTTCCGTACGCCTACTCCACTCCATTTTCTTTAATTGATGTGTAAGGAATTTTCCCACACTTTATTTTTTATTTTCTTTCTGATGTTCATGTTATAGATTCTTTAAATCTTTTTATGTCTTCCATAATCATGAACATCTTAGTGATTCGGGAAGGGCAAAATGGGAATGATTTCCTTCATGAACCAAAAATAGTGTTGATGGT